TGATCATTTTCTTGCTGAACTTTCCAGTCATTATTATTTTAATCAGCGGACGATGTATGGGACGGAAAATCCGTAACGTGCACATCTTGAGCCTCAGTATCACCGATTGTTTGGTCAGCATCAGTAGCGTCTTTCTGTTTAACGCGCTTCGCCTTACGGATGGGATTAACGACCCACGTCCAACCCTGCTGTACGCTCGTTGCTGGTTTGCCCTCAGTATATACCTATGTTGTGTTGTAGCTTCTTTGCTACATTTGTGTTTTATATGTGCAGATCGTTGGTGGATACTAACTAAAAATTACTCTGCCGAGCGTACTAAACGTGTTTGTCGATTCTGGATAATTGTTATAGCAACATGGGTTTGTTCATTTATGATTGTATTCATACCTTTCACAGCTTTGCGACGGGACCATAATATTACCGTGTGTTCCATTCCCCAGCTCTTTTCCGATCACGACGCTCACACCATTTTTCGGACCTGGGCCATTCTTCTCTTCCTCGGCCTCTTTTTCATTATTACTTCCTGTGGGTGGATGCTACATCGAGTTTTGAATCTTCAGAGAACTCTGGTTTCCCCGACATCAAGCAAAAACAATTGTGTTTTTAAAATTAGTAAACCACGGATTATAAACGTTCAACCTCAAACTGGTAAACGAAATGGGGTAAAGGAAGAACCGTCTTTTTCATCACGCAAATCATGCGACATCAACGTAAAGCGACTGTCTTTGAGAACTTTAAAACTTGTATCTCATAGAAAGGCCGTTGTCACGTTGCTGATTCTGGCAGGTTGTCTACTGTTCTGTTTATCGCCTTTGTGTGCTTTGTCTTTTCTAATGGGATGGAGACATGCATTTCCATCCGAAGAAGGCGTGAGCCAAGATGCAATATACTTCGTATGTGTTATAGCCACTCTCAATTCCGCCTTCAATCCATTAGTATATGCATTTCGAGTAAATGAAGTAAGACACAACCTTAGGGCGTTGAAGAAGAAGATGACTTGTATTTGTTCATTTTTTGGGACTGATGAATCTTGATATTCACTATAAGAAAGAATCACAAGATTTAAATATTTTCATATCTTGGGCCTAATAAACCAAGTACATGTCATTAACTCCAAAAACTTATTAGACAAAACTTTATACCCCTTATGAAGACAATTCCAGAAAATGTTATTTCGGGCATTATTACTTTTTTGTAACTGCTTGTTTCCTCATGATTTAAAGGTTCTGCATGTGATGTTCCAGTTATTTATTTAGAAAAATAAGCTGTATATTTTGTCTTGTTTGTTTATCACCCGACTTCATTATTTGATAAAATGGCGTGGATACCTTTAATCTTCTCAAAAGAATTTGAAAAAAAGATGTTCAATATTCAAATAGAATTTAAAGTACTAGTATTGTTTTGTTATAACAAATAATATAGGGTTGCATTAGAATTTTCTTTAAAAATGTACTTCAATCTGAATACATTCAAAGTAAACCAAAAAAAAGTGGTTACAGGAGAGAACCTTGTAGCACACCTCACTAGGCAGTAAATACTAGTACATTGTATAGTCGCTGAAGCTAAGTGTTGATTAGAAATTAAAGTGATACAACATCAAAATAAACAATAATCTATTAAAAAATATTTATAAAAGTGATTCGGAAACAAAATTAACAACAAGTATTATTTAGAGAACGAGACGGGTTCTATATCGTAGATACAAATTTGGGGGTGGACGAGTGCCTAGCACGAGTCTCCACCCCCAAATTTGTATCTACGATACAGAACCTGTCGAGTTCTCTAAATGATTTGTGACACGATCAATCAAAAATAGCTCCGCCCACTATATAGCTTGGCAGCATCCAAATTTTCGCCAGAGTTCTGTAGATGAGGCCCCGACGGAAAGTGCGCATCCGCAGTATATATATTTCCACGGAAAACGTAAAATTCGGTAAGATTAGTTTTGACAATTTATTGGGGTAGACGTAATCGAGTGATTAGTCAGTCTTAATGGATACAGTGGAGGATTTAACCGTCATTGTTGTGATCTATTGTAGATGGAGAGATTGATCAGGGGTCTTAAAATCACGGTTTAATTAACTAGATTTACAAACACAGGATTTACAGAAAATTCTTCGATGGACTTTGATGTCTCGGATTTTTATTTTTTAATTGAATTGCGACATTAAAAACGAAGTGAAAGAGCTTGAATATTTTTCATCATGACCATATTAAGTTTTGTGAATTTCTTCATGTGACACGGTCTTCCTCTGGATACCATTATTTGTCATTGACCTTGAAAATTGACCCATATTTGATTGATTGTATACGTCCTCTTCGAAAATTTTTCACTCAAATGGAAACGCCACCTCTTGCCGGTGGAGAGCTACACATTTTGTCCTATACTCGGCACTTAGGGCCATTGAACAACATGAACAACGAGGGATCTTTTTTGTGCCAGCACCTACTGCGACAGGGGACTTCGGTTTATACGGTCTCATCCCTAGGACCGGTCTCCACGCCCCAGCGGCCCCACAGTGGTATTCGAACGGCGACGTAAGGATCAACTCGTTACTTCGCGACTCTAGAGCAGGAGACTCTAAGCACTGCGCCACGCGGGCGACGACCCACGTTTGAAATGTTGGGTAAGTGAGAAGACACCCATTTGAACGGTTGGTGCTTGAGTTTTCATATTTTACATGCATAGTCATTGAGGCAAGTTGTTTCCTCGGGTAAGAAACACCATTTTTATCCTGGTGTTTTTCTTGCATTTAAAAAACTTGAATCTTTTCCATTAATGGCCATTTGGGGGAATCGGTGTTTCACAGACATCTGGTTTTTAACCATCCAGTTTTTTAAAATACTTTTGCATCCTCTAACAGATTACAGGATGTAGCTAAGTCACACTAAAAGAATGGAAGTTTAGAGGGATTTACATTTGGAGAGAAGTGGAAAGAGAAAGAAGATAAAATTTGTCAGTAAGACATATCTCCGCTGATATTCGTTTTTGAAATGAAAGCCCTAGCATCAATCGTTCTTATATCATGTCCATTGGTAAAATTCAGTAAATGTTTGAAAAAGCGGTTCAAACTCCAAAGCCAAATACATTAGTACCTGGAACACAATGTACACAGCACACGGACTTTTTTGATCGAAACAACATCCTCTGCGATGAACAACATAACTTCCGAGCCCGCCGATCATGTGAGACACAATTTGCCATAACACTGGACCAGATAGCCAGAAACATGGACCAGGGGTACCAAGCAGACATCATACAAGTACTTTTGGACTTTCGTAACGCTCTTCATAAAGTCCCACGCCAACGTCTTCTACTGAAGTTGGAGCACTACGTACATGTAGTATCAGGCACCACCCTAAGCTGACGTCCCTCTCGAGAATTTTTCACTCGTATGGAGACGCCACCACTTGCAGTTGGAGAGCTACAAATGTTGTCCTATACTTGGCACTTTCGGTCATGAAGCAGTGAGTGATCTTTTTCGTGCCAGCACCCACTGCGACAAAGGACCCAAGTTTATACGGCTTTATCCGAAGGACCGGTCTTCACTACCCACAGTGGGATTCGAATCCTAAGTCTTAGAACCCAACCACGTGTTCTGGATCGACACACACCTTCACCTTTGCATGTCCTCTCCGGAGTACCACAACGAACCATCATGGGACCGCTCCTATTCATGACCTTCATTAATGACTTAACGGTGTGCACCTATTTAGATGCCAGACTTCGCAGATCAATCGTCATATCCGAAATCATAGAGATGCAGTCAAGTTACAGGTAGATTTCACTGTCCTAGAGGAAAAGAATTGACAGATTTGTTTCCATCCCGAAGAGTACAGTTATTCGGATCTCTAACAAACAGCAGCCACTGCAAACATACACCTTGCATGGATATCAGCTGAAAGTGGTGGAGAGTGAATAGTATCTTGGCACTACCATCACCTAAGACCTACAATGGACCAACGGCATCTAAACAAATATAATGAAAGCTTTAAGAATCTTCAACAGCTTTGTTTCCATCCCGAGGAGTAGTTATTCGGATCTCTAACAAACAGCAGCCACTGCAAACATACACCTTGCATGGATATCAGTTGAAAGTGGTGGAGAGTGAATGGTATCTTGGCACTACCATCACCTAAGACCTACAATGGACCAACGGCATCTAAATAAATATAAGGAAAGCTTTAAGAATCTTCAACAGCTTTCTAAGACTTTTCAAGTTAAAGAAAGCATCCTTTATTCAAATGGCTAACATCTATAGTATTGAGTGTATGCCCTTGTGAAAAGGCGATATAATATGCCAACTCGATGTTAAAAATGCCAAACCTACACATAATAATATTGATATAAACACGTATATACGGTAAAATTACTGGCATTATTACATTATCACGCTATTAAATAATCGCACTAAAGAAAGGTTTTACATTGGTATTAACAGTCTAAGTATCTAAAATCTATAAATAATATACTGTTTGATAATAAAATGCATTTTTCACTGTAAAAATATTCTGCCTTTCACAACACATAAGATAGGCCTACGTCATGTTTATCAAAATGACGTCATATCGACAAGTTTCCTGCGATCAAAGATTTGTTTATACCGACGGTAAACTAAACTGGTTGTCTGGTATTTAACTAGTACCTATTTTTAATGCATTAATGATATTGAATGTAGTTAGTTATGTTAATACAGTTTAAATGCAAATTATTTGATTTTCAGATTTTGATGATTTGTAGCCGAACTGTTTTGTGTGATGTTCAAGCCTTAACAATGCTGCGTATATTTAGGTGTGTTACAGGATACTTATAAATATTTAACCCCCATTACATTGAAATGCCGATAAAACGAACCTTATACGACATATTTCCAACCACCTGCACTTTTTAAAGTTAAAAATAAAATACAATGTTACCACAATCAAGCCTATGGCTCATCATTTCGGAAATAACCCAATCGAGCGGAAGAAATCTTCGTCATATGTTGACGATCATAACATCCGATTGGTATATGCAGTTCACTCGCTCACTTGCCGACTTGGAAAAAGCTTCGACGGACTTTGGACAAATGTTTAAAATTGTTGCAGGGCAAAAAAAAATTTAAAAGAAATAACAGAAAAATTACATTAAGACAATAAGAAAAAATATACACATTGAGCATAAAGCATTGTCTGACTCGAAGATGGAAATCTACATTTTTGCCTGTTGCCTTTTTACCGTCGTGTTTCTTGCAGCAGTGAAACTTTACCAAGTGTCCATCAAAAAACCTTATATATCAAATGTCAAACTTCATGGAAAGACAGCCATTGTCACGGGAGCCAATACTGGTAAGTTGGACTAATTACTAATATTTTTAAAACAAGGGGGGGGGGGTCTGTAAAACAACATTTTTATTCGAACTCCTAGTTATTAAACACATAATTCATAAATGATCACAGTAAGTCTTAAAAACAGTTTTCTGAGGTAAAGATCCTCAATAAAACTATTGTCTGTCTGTCTGTCTGTCAACAATTTTTCAAAATGCTACTCCTCTTTAATACTGATTTCAATATATCTTGACACACAAGTAGATTACACTAAGAAACACAATTCTGTGCATCCGTTTTTGATTTTGATGAACGGTGATGCAGTGGTTACTAAAAATAGAAATTTCTGTGAAATGCTTTCAAAATGCTACTCCTCCTACAGTTTTGGTCCGATTTCAATATAACTTGGCACACAAGTAGACTATACTAAGACAAATAATACTCTCTATAGGTTTTTGATTTCCATGGATGATGTTGCCGTGGTTACTAAAAATAGAAATTTCTGTGAAATGCTTTCAAAATGCTACTCCTCGTACAGTTTTAATGTGATTTCAATACAACTTGGCACACAAGAAGACTACACTAAGATACATAATTCTGTGCATCAGTTTTTGATTTCAATAAACGATGTTGTCGTAGTTACTAAAAAAATTAGGGCTGGGCAAAAATATCGATATTTCGATATATTGCAATTCAATGACAAAAAATATCGTATTGCAATACGTTTTCGTAGTATTGATATATTGGCAAAATGCTTAGACTAAGGAATTTTATCATTAGATATAAGAATAAATGTATGAAAGGTTGCTAATAAGTCAAACAATAAAGACAGAAGCTGTTTTATGGGTGTATTTCAAACCAGAAATCTAATAAAATCAACAAGATTTTTTTCTTTTGCTTACTTATCATAGTTATGTAAATTTTCATTAATTTTGTATGTAAATTAAAGTTCAAATAATTCGAAAATGCCATTTTTATAACGTTTAAAAAATTGCAATACATATCGCAATACAGTTAAAAATATCGCAATATATCACAATACGAAATCTTTGGCCAATACCCAGCCCTAAAACAAAATACAAATTTCTGTAAAATACATTCAAAATGCTACTCCTCCTACAGTTTTGGTCTAATTTCAGTATAATGTGACATGCAGGTAGACTACACTAAAATACATTATTGTCTTTATTTTTTTTTTTAATTCATTTTCATGAATGATGGTGCCATGGTAACTAAAATTGATAATTCTGTAAAATTGTATTAAAAGCTACTCCTATAGTTGTAATCTTATTGCAATATTGCCATAAAAAGTGATTTAATCAAAGATCATCACTCTGTTTATTGCTGTATTAAAGTTTCAAGTCCCAATTGCTACTCTTCTTTTCCATTGTTATATTAGTATAGCTAAAGTCTCGACAGAGACTTCTGGTTTATACTTTGCATGCATGAAAGAAATAAAGTGAATAACTGGATTTGTGAAAAGCTGCATATAAACAAAATTTCCCTTAAAGCAGATTCTTTATAACTGAGTTTTACTGGTAAGTAATAACAGTTGTGGTAGCTATAAGCCTAGCAGTTAATGACCATGCAGCTTTATGAGTGGAAGATCTGCCAGCTAAGATCGATCTATTCACATTCCTGCATACAGGGCCATGAAACTGAGATGAGATCAATTTTGATCCTAGTCTTGATTTTCAACTATTTAAAATTCTTAGGTAAAAGTAAGACTGAGATAAGAAATGAATGATCTTATCCAAGCCTTATTGTCCTAGCCTGGAGCTTGTATTGTGCCATATCAAACCTAAGACATTAAAAAATAGATACTGGTATAGTGACTGTACCTGACATTAAAACTGAAATTCATGAGTCTTTTGGATGAGATCCCAAAAACAGGATATTGTAAGCATTAAGATTAGTGATAAAGAATTCTCACTGACTGCAAGTGTCATGCATAGAACAAAATTTGAAGTACTTCATCCAAACCAGGTATATTTTCTAGAAGACTACATTAGAAGAAAAATTCTTGAACTGAGCATTATTCAACATATATACCAATCCATTCATTATTATTGAATTTACAAAAAGTTTAAATAGTGGAATTGAAGATTGATTTGATTTTAGGATTAGGATTTTGGACAGCTCTTGATTTGGCAAAGAGAGGAGCCCATGTCATTCTGGCTTGTAGAAACTTGCAAAAAGCAGAAGAAGCAAGGAAAAAAATTCTGGAAGCACTAGAGGATGGAGGTGATGTAGTGGTCAGGCACTTGGATCTGAGCTCTATGAGGTCTGTAAGGCAGTTTGCTAGAGAGACATATGAACAGGAAGCCAGACTGGATATTCTCATCAACAATGCTGCAGTGTCAGGTATAGTGTTACAAGTATTTTAGCAAAATGAACAGTGTATTACTCTATAAACAAAGATGATATCGGTATTGCAAGCAGTAAAAAATTTAAGTTACATAGATTTATTTGAAATACATTGTATGTCTTTTAACACTTATAATAATTTGTGTATGTGCATGTGTATTTTTAGGTCTACCTGCAACAATTACAGAAGAGAACTTAGAATATACTTATGCAACAAACTATGTTGGACCATTTCATCTCACAAATCTCCTTCTGGGTAAAACTAGCTTGATTTGGCTATAATGTAATTTTGTTTACAGTTTAATACAATCATGATGTAGGGTAATGAATTATGATTCAGTTTTAAGTCCAAAACAGTTTGTGTTTGTTTATCATTGATTTGAATTCAATCAAGGAACAGTTAACTTTTACAATTTTCATCCAAACAATACAAGGTTGTAAATAAGGCAAAAGTTTTATATTAAAGTTATTGGATGAATGCTCCTTAGCAAGCAAGAAAAAGTTGGTTTCTTTTGAATTCCAGCTTTTTTAGCCTAAGGGTCTGCAACAAAATTGACATTTTGAAAATGTCAACCTGCTCAGTTAGGAAATATCTGCCAATATATCAGCAAATTACGAACTTATTCCGAACTTGCAAACTTGTGCTATCATTGAGCTATCATTGAGCATAAAAATCCATGAATCTCGTTCTAGATTTGCTGAAAAAGTCTGCTCCCAGTCGTATAGTGAATCTTACGTCCATAATGAATACTCTGGCTCATGTGGATTGTGATGATATACAAGCTAAGAAAGGGTTCCATCCTTATGATGCTTACAAGAACTCAAAGCTGATGAACATATTGTTTACTAAGGAACTTGCTAGAAGACTTGAAGGAACAGGTAAAATTAGTGAACTAAAACCCACTACTCATTTGTATAAAATGTTGCTTTCAGAGGAGTGGGTGATTGTGGCCATTTCAGACTATATTGATCTCTTTTAGAAGAAGAGTTCCATATAAGGAAATACAAAATGATCAAATTTTAAAACTGAAATGTATCAATTTTGTCTCTGCCAAATGATAGCTGACATTTAAGATATCGTATCTAAAAATTTAAGTTATATCTAATGGTTAATTTGTTGACCTCTCAGTCTCCAAGCTCTTTGACCTTGAACTCAGAGATTGATTTTGCAATTAACTGCCACTCAGGGGCATCAGTGTTTTACAAACATATTTTGTTTCTAAAAGAAACATATTTTATCTGTAAAATACTATAAATTGCAGCAAAGCTTGTGGGGCAAAACTGGATAAAAAAGTCATTTTTTCAACTTAAATCATTTATGTCATTAAAACTGTTTTATTAGAGCACCATTGAACCTCATGTATGGTTGTTAAAACTTAATGGAGGCATGTCTGCATCACTGTATGTAATTTCTTTAACCAAACTACGTAAGCTCTCAAACTCTGCATCTGATTTTGATACATTCAAAATATTCAACATTAACATTAAAGGAGGAGTAAAGAGAAACATCTTTATCTACTAAGATTTAAAAAGTTTGATGCCATTTTTAGCTCTACTGGTCAGAGACCAGAAGAGCTTATGCGATAGTAATGCGTCCGTCGTCCGTCCGTCTGTCTGTCTGTCTGTCCGTCTGTCTGTCTGTAAACAATTTTTCAAAATGCTACTCCTCCTACAGTTTTGGTCTGATTTCAATATAACTTGACACACAAGTAGACTACACTAAGATACATAATTCTGTGTATCGATTTTTGATTTCGATGAACAGTGTTGCCGTGGTTACTAAAAATAGAAATTTCTGTGAAATTCTTTCAAAATGCTACTCCTCCTACAGTTTTGGTCTGATTTCAATATAACTTGACACACAAGTAGACTACACTTAGATAGACAATTCTGTGTATCGGTTTTTGATTTCGATGAACGGTGTTGCCATGGTTACTAAAAATAGAAATTTCTGTGAAATTCTTTCAAAATGCTACTCCTTGTACAGTTTTTGTCTGATTTCAATATAACTTGGCACACAAGTAGACTACACTAAGATACACAATTCTGTATATCGGTTTTTGATTTCGATGAACGGTGTTGCCGTGGTTACTAAAAATAGAAATTTCTGTGAAATTCTTTCAAAATGCTACTCCTTCTACAGTTTTTGTCTGATTTCAATATAACTTGGCACACAAGTAGACTACAATAAGATACATAATTCTGTGTATCGTTTTTTGATTTCGATGAACGGTGTTGCTATGGTTACTAAAAATAGAAATTTCTGTGAAATTCTTTCAAAATGCTACTCCAAACACAATTTTAGTCTGATTATAATATAAATGTGGCATGCAAGTAGACTGCACTAAGAACATAAAGAGACTTAATTAAGGATCATTATTCTATTTATTGCTGTTGAAAAGTTTCTACTTTTCTCTTCCTTTGCTATAAGTACAAACCAGTAGAGCTTCAGTCTCGACAGAGACTTCTGGTTTTTTAATGTACAGGTGTAGCTACCTGCTGTATACATCCTGGAGTAGCAGCTACAGACATTTTCAGATGTATATGGGGCAGTAGTATATTGACAGCATTTCTAGGGCTATTTTTTAAGGTATGTTTACGATCACCAGTCAGAAAAAGTGGAAAAATGGTGTTTCATGAACACTTTCCTTGCATTGTAACAAAGTTCTTAGATGTAAAATATTTAGTATACCACTTAAAACAAGATGAATACAAATACAAAAATAGTAAATAATGTTTCAAATATTTTGTATTTGTTGATTTTTAGAATGATTAAATATAGGCATATACATTTATAGAAATCGTCAAAAGTGTAACTGTTCACCCCCTCCTTTTCTCATACCCAATCTTTGATTTATCATCATGTTAGAGAAAATTTAACTTGAAAAAAAAAAAAACTTGTATCCAATCCATTATCCATGTATATTTAGAAAAATATATATTGAATATGAAATGCTAATACTGAATAAAATATGAAATGTTCAAACTGAATAAAAATATTTGAATTTTTTATGCTTATTTGTTAGAAATTTAAGTATAACATGTTTTTACCGGTATACTTATTTTGCTTCAGACAGCTAAAGATGGAGCTCAAACAACTGTGTACGCTGCTGTGTCAGAGGAAATGCGTGATGCCAAGGGAGTATACTTGAGTGATAGTCAGGTGTGTGATAAGACAAGGTGGATAAACAAGGAAGCTTATGATGAAGGATTGTGTAAAAAACTGTGGGAAACTACAGAGGCTATTCTGGCATCCATTGATTCAACAACACTGAGTGAAAAAGAAAACAAGATCTAAGAGGAACTTGAAGATTTAGTTAGTATAAGGTGCCCACATATTTTAAATATTCTGCATATTAAGAAATCCTTTTTCTTGTCAATGAATCAACTTATATTTGAAAAATTCATATTTCCTTAATCTTTCTAATATTTAAAATTTTACCTCTACAGATAAAATTGAAACCAAGTTGGTTTAACATTATAAGATTGGTTTTGTTTGTCAAATAGGCTCCAGTCATGTATGTTTGTTCATTGTAAGTTTTTAGCTCACCTGAGCCGAAGGCTCAAGTGAGCTTTTCTGATCACATTTTGTCCGTCGTCCGTCCGTCTGTCCATCTGTCTGTCTGTCCGTCTGTAAACTTTTCACATTTTCGACTTCTTCTCAAGAACCACTGGGCCAATTTTGATCAAACTTGGTACAAAGCATCCTTAGGTGAAGGGGAATTTAAATTGTTAAAATGAAGGGACATATCCCCTCGCAAGGGGAGATAATCAAGAAAAGACAAAAATAGGGTTGGGTCATTAAAAAATCTTCTTCTCAAGAACCACTGGGCCAGTAAAGCTGAAACTTATGTGGAAGCATCCTGGTATAGTGTAGATTCTAAATTGTTCACATCATGACCCCCGGGGGAAGGGCGGGGCCACAATGGGGAATCAAAGTTTTATATAGAAATATATAGGAAAAATCTTTGAAAATCTTCTTCTCAAGAACCACTGGGCCAGAAAAGCTGAAACTTATGTGGAAGCATCCTGGTATAATGTAGATTCTAAATTGTTCACATCATGACCCCCGGGGAAGGGCGGGGCCACAATGGGGAATCAAAGTTTTATATAGAAATATATAGGAAAAATCTTTGAAAATCTGCTTCTCAAGAACCACTGGGCCAGAAAAGCTGAAACTTATGTGGAAGCATCCTGGTATAATGTAGATTCTAAATTGTTCAAATAATGACCCCCGGGGGAAGGGCGGGGCCACAATGGGGAATCAAAGTTTTATATAGAGATATATAGGAAAAATCTTTGAAAATCTTCTTTTCAAGAATCAGTGGGCCAGAAAAGCTGAAACTTATGTGGAAGCATCCTGGTATAATGTAGATTCTAAATTGATCAAATAATGACCCCCGGGGGAAGGGCGGGGCCACAATGGGGAATCAAAGTTTTATATAGAGATATATAGGAAAAATCTTTGAAAATCTTCTTCTCAAGAACCACTGGGCCAGAAAAGCTGAAACTTATGTGGAGGCATCCTGGTATAGTGTAGATTCTAAATTGTTCACATCATGACCCCTGGGGGAAAGGCGGGGCCACAATGGGGAATCAAAGTTTTATATAGAAATGTATAGGAAAAATCTTTGAAAATCTTCTTCTCAAGAACCAGTGGGCCAGAAAAGCTGAAACTTATGTGGAAGCATCCTGGTATAATGTAGATTCTAAATTGTTCACATCATGACCCCCGGGGGAAGGGCGGGGCCACAATGGGGAATCAAAGTTTTATATAGAAATATATAGGAAAAATCTTTGAAAATCTTCTTCTCAAGAACCAGTGGGCCAGAAAAGCTGAAACTTATGTGGAAGCATCCTGGTATAATGTAGATTCTAAATTGTTCACATCATGACCCCCGGGGGAAGGGCGGGGCCACAATGGGGAATCAAAGTTTTACATAGAAATATATAGGAAAAATCTTTGAAAATCTTCTTCTCAAGAACCAGTGGGCCAGAAAAGCTGAAACTTATGTGGAAGCATCCTGGTATAGTGTAGATTCTAAATTGTTCAAATAATGACCCCCGGGGGAAGGGCGGGGCCACAATGGGGAATCAAAGTTTTATATAGAAATATATAGGAAAAATCTTTGAAAATCTTCTTCTCAGGAACCACTGGGCCAAAAAAGCTGAAACATATGTGCCCATGGAAGGATCATGGGGTAGTGTAGATTTCAAAATGTCTAAATTATGATCAGTGGGGTAGGGTGGGGATGCATTATGTATAACAAGGGGGGAATCTGGTAAAGAACAGAATGGTTAAAGCTTCTCAGGTGAGCGATGTGGCCCATGGGCCTCTTGTTTGATAATGTCACTGTGATTTGTTTTTCAGGTTTTCGCCTGTTTGCTAAACATTTTCAGTCATTTGGGTCTGTTTATCAATTTGATAATTATTCAAGTCATCTATATGCTTGTTTCAATGTTTGTTAGTTTTTAGTAAGGTCTGCTGGTTTAATTTGTTAGTTTTTCAGCATGCAATGTGTTACCTCTCTGTTTCTGTTTGTTTTCAATATGTTGTATGTCATACGGGCTTGAAAGCCTTGAGTGTTCTGTAGATGCATGTATATAATTATCTTTTTATTTTACAGAAATTTAATGCATTGTGCCAAATTAGGAGCTCATTTATATGTACTTGGAAATTTAAATATATATGATGCATCCTTTTTTTTTTTACAAGAGTTTTTCAATAGTGTTTTACCTCTATACCTAAGTATACTCATGATAATTGATTAATATGTACAATTAAATTATTGACCCTGTTTTTTTTTTCTTCCAGATAATTTGTTCAGACTTATATTTAGAAAGATTGAAATATTTGAGAAAATAATAATAATCTTTTTTCTTTAGAAAAAATAATGTTTAAATAAGTAAATTTACTTGTTTTTTATTGAAAAAGTGTGGAGCCATTTAACAGTAAAATTTTGACCCAAGTAACTGTTCTTTGTTGAGTTTTCTGAATTATTTCTTAAATAGACATTAAACTTGTTTGTTTTCTGAAGCACATTGCTTAATATGGTGTATAAACCATGCAGAACAAAGTGAGGTATAAAGCTGTCATAACTTCCGTAGAAGACATTTTCCCAAGTGTTTGCGATTTAAAAACAAACTCATTTATGTATTCTTATGCTTATAGGCAAGCTCACCGCAGCTTGTTTTTGCTAATTTTGTTTAAGTCAAATAAAACACTTTCATAGAGATGAATAATGTCATTTATTAAAATGACGGTATAAATGTGAACAATTTAACAAACAAGAAGGGGATCAGATTCACAAGCTTTGATTAGCAGTTACGTAAAATATGATAATGTCTGATCCCCCAAAACTGACTAGAAAAAGTATCTGTAAGACAAGACAATCGAAACATCATATGAAAAAATTAGCAAAAAGATGGCACATCAAAACAAAATAGGCCAAGACAAGGCAATCAAAACATCATATGAAAAAGTTAGCAAAAAGATGGCACATCAAAACAAAATAGGCCAAGGATAGTAGTGAAACAAAATACATGTACATAAAAATATATATATATATATAAACAAATTAAATCAGAACCAATCAAATATATAATTTTACATGACACATTAATACCCATTTTAAGGGGTAGGAATGCAGGGGTGGAGGAGGGTCTTCAAAATAGACGTGTCTGGTGCTAGCGTGGTCAGCATGCGGGTCATCACAATACAACTTAATGACTCGCTGAGCTGACCACGTGACCTTACACCTATTATATGTAATCCTTCAACCAAGGCGTGGATCTAAGAATTTTCACAATCTACCAAAATTAATCCTACCGGAAACCTCCAACTAAGTTATCGCATTCAATACATAAATACAATTATTATTCTAAAAATTGTTGTTTTATGTATTCTTATGCTTATAGGCAAGCTCACCGCAGCTATAACTTCCGTAGAAGACATTTTCCCAAGTGTTTGCGATTTAAAAACAAACTAATGCCCGTCAAAATCAAATTCTGCACTGTTCAAAGGACACTCTTAGGTACTGCACCATGGCATTTATAACAGTATTTTATTTTCATTGAGTTTGATTCAAACTCAACATTAAAACATAAAATCAAATTTATATGGTATTGTAAAGTCGACCCCTCCCACAGTTTTAATTGAGTTGCAATATAACTATTCCCTCTGAGAATCATTTTCACTGAATGTTCAATGAATCAAACCACAGCGGCATTTCAGGAAAACATTCTTGTATAAGTTGGATTGTCGGACAGATATTACATGATCACAGATTTTGAAAGCTGAAAGAAAGAAAAGGTGGAATTAGAACATTTAAAATAATGTCAAACTGCCCAAAACTTGAATGAGCACCAATAAGAAGTTGAAAGCGAAGGACAAGTGGTAAGTGAAATAGATACAAACCCCATTAGGAAAGAAGAAATCAGCAAGGCTATCAAGAAACTCAAGAATGGAAAAGTTAGAGGAGTTGATGGGATAGCAGATATGTTAAAATATGTTGAAAAACCATTCCCGCGATAAATTATATTCCGGGCTTTTTGACATCACATCTGCTTTTTCAATAAAAATCGAACTGGCCAAACTTGCCTGCGCGTATATGGTAACTGTTCTCTTGAAAAATTACTTTTTAAAAACATTCCTATAGTACAAGAAACTACTCTGAAATTGATATAAAAAAGATGCTCGAGTTTCTGATTCACAAACTTTCAGCAATCTTTTCGGATTGGGTACCTGTAATTGCGCTTTGTTATAAGCGGACATTTTTTTTAAATGTTCATTTAAAGCAGAATTTTATTTAAAGAAGAATTGTACATGAGAAAAAACCCACTTGCCCTGGTGTCAACTCGTCATTTAGATATATCGACGACATATTGGTTAATCAATTAACAATAGTTACTTCCATTCATATGTCGACTCGGTACATGTATACCCTGGTGAGATTGAAATTTAAAAAAATTAATGTAAAAAAAAAATCCGACACATCGTCTCATACCTAGGCCTAGTTACTGTAGTATTTTACAAGAAGTAGGCGACGTTAGTGTTGCATAACAACTGATTAACATGATGATTTAACTTTTCTATCGTTGATTCCCTTAAATATTAGGTATATCACTTGAATATGGGGTTAATGAGTATAAGTTGATTCGAAACATTAGATCAAGCTCTACATACAAACAATATCTAAAAAGAGGGAAACTACTGACAAAGAAGTTGATGAAACAAGAATATTAACAGTCTCGCGCCAATCATTATTTTGCAAGTTCTTTAGTCGATACAGTGGCTTACTCAGCAAATGCACTCTACCATAAGTCGAATGCTGACTGACTTTTTTCACACTAATTAATAAGCCATTATTTACACATTGAACTGCCTCAAGATTTTCCGTTTTCCAAATCATGACAAGAAGTACAAGGCGGGTGTTATCAGTCGGCAGGGGATGCTCACTTCTTCATTGCACCTGATCCCACCTCTGATGTTTTTAGAGGTCCATGACAGCTCTGTTTCCGATATGTAATCTTTCAGAGGACATTTCAGCTTGGAAATCGTTCGTTCATGTACTATCTCGATCCATATTTGATTCAGATTTCACCAGTACTGCATACATAGTCAATAATGAGAAATAAATTTGGTAACGCAGTCTCAAGAAACTGTAATAATAAGATTATTTTATTGGTGGATACTGGGACTTCTTTCGCTATGCACATCCCATTCTTGTCCAAATGAAAACAGCCCAGGCCAGGAAAATATATGAAATCAATGATCACACTGCAATTGTGTAAGTTGTGTACTAAAATATTTATTCTGTCCTGTAGGTGCCATGTCAGGACAAGGAAGTAATCGAGTGGTGATCGATAAAGCTTCGACATAAGCACACTCAACAAAATCATTTAGTTCAGTAGAGCACGCACAGACACTATTTTTTGGTATAATATTTTTTTTTTACGCTTTGGTATAAAAATAACATCTAAATATACTATTACTAGTATATACTTAAGGTAAAATTTCAGAAACAACTGCGATCACGAAGCAGTACTTTATATATCGTAAGAATTACAAAACTTGATGCAGAGCCGTTTTGAAATTATTGATGAGGACGCTGTTAAATTAACTTAAATTTGTGTGACTATCCAGTTGATGGAGGGTCAAGACACGATAGCAAGCCATAATATTTAGCACCTTTTTTGGAAAATAAACTTATGCTTTTTCTCAGACCGGTATATTCTTCGTTTCAATAACGTCATATTGTGTTATTGAAACAGCGGTTTTTTGAAAGAAATTGACTTTGCAGTAAAAAGGTACTGCGTGATCAAGATTAAAAAAAAAATGACCCTGACACTGTTCTAATGTCATTGCGTAATGCTCAAGACAAAAACTTTTTTTATCTTGTATAAATTCTTCGTTTTGCCTACTTCAGAAGTAGCGAGTATTCAATGTTGAATGACTTAAAGTAAACAAAAATAGAAAAGTAAACTTTTATAAATGTTTGATAGCCATTGATATGTTTTTGATGAATTTTTGTTGAAAACAGAATGTTAACATATATTTTCTAAACACATATTTAAGTATCGCTTTGTCTGAAACTTCCCTATCTTGAAAAAAAAATCTTCTTGGTTTACTTTTGGACATATACAGGGGCGTAGCAACCGGGGGGGCCAGGGGGGGGGGCCTGCCCCCCCCCCCCCCACTTTTTGCCCCAACCTTACTTATACTATAGGAAATGTTAATTGAAAGCCTGGTTGGCCCCCCCCCACTTTTAGTGATGTATCGAAAATGTAGTATTAGAATGGGTACTAAAAGTAGTTGACACTGAGAAAAAGTTAACCTACCTGCCCCCCCCCCCCAACCCCCCGAAATAGGATTTTCGCCTTTTGGGCAACTTTTCCTTTTTTTGGGGGGGGGGGGGGTTGTCAACTTTTTCACGTAAGTAAAAAAAAAAAATTTTTCTGTGGCTGCCCCCCCCCCCACTTTCAAAAACGATGCTACGCCACTGATATGTCCCTTTTTATCAGCCAGTGTGATATATGTCGTTAAAAGTGTTCATATCAAACATTTATTGATTCTTTTTTGGCCATTGTGCGGATCATTTATGTATGTATTACCCTTTGAGAAAGATACTCAGCTTGCCCTCTGACTTTGTTGTGTACGTAATCGTTTTCTGGTTGATAAATTTGTTTTTTGACCTGATAGATATCAATAATTATAAATAAATAATTTCTGAAATTATTATTTTCATTATATATAATCAGAAAACGGATATACCAGTTCTTATCTCTACTAGTCAATAATGCAGCATACCGACGTAGCTCAGGTTAGTGTTACAGTGGATGGGACTATTATTTGAACTTGAGATATAGTTTAAAATTACAATATTTATGATGTACACTGTATTATGACTGATTATATGAGTTACTCTCTTAATTTCCTAAGTTGATTCATAAAAGGTTATCTTAAGTTTGAGTACGTGCAGGTGAAATGACCCTCGGTGTTATCTAAGGTTTCAACGTTTTATTGAAAGATCATTGGGTTTCCAAGATGGAGCGACTTTATCGAGACTTTTTATTAGTTGTCATCGTGTTTGTAGTTGTAACTGGTGTAATTAATTTTGCTTCCATATTTCGGTGCACCCCGAAGGAAATTGTGAAAACTTTACCTTGTGTGAGGCACATTTCTAAGTGTGCACCAAATACCGATCAAGTAAAGGAGAACGTGTTATCAAACTTAACAGTACTGTGGGACACAACGTCAGGTAAAGATAGGATTTATGAACAAATAAATTACAAACCGGAAGTGGATTTATCTCGTAATAAGATTATATTGATAAGCGGAAGTGGAGATTTTGACGTTCCAAGAGGACAAGAAAAGTTTATTCAGGACAACTGTCCAATAAGAAACTGTGAAATTCACAGAGACGATAATCAAAAGCGAAAAGCCGACGCTAGACTTTTCAATATCATGATAAGTTTTAATGAATTACCAATGTTTCAGAGGGATCCAAATGAAATATGGATTCTTTATATTTTGGAGGGTCCATTAGCTACACCTGATTATTTCTTGTTGGGTGATGTATTTAACTGGACAGTAACATATCGTCATGATTCAACTATTGTAGCACCTTACGAAAAATGGTTACCATCCACAGAAAGTAAGAATAAGACAGTACCGAAAAATTATGCAGCCGGGAAGAAAAAGCTAGTAGCAATGTTTGTGTCTAACTGTGACACCAGTAATAATAGAATGGGGTATGTCACAGAGCTGCAAAAGTATATTCCTGTAGACGTATACGGGGCTTGTGGAACTAAGCAGTGCGACAGATCTGTGGAATTGGATTGTTTTAAAATGTTGAAAAATGATTATAAATTTTATCTAGCTTTTGAAAATTCCAACTGCAGGGACTACATAACAGAAAAATTTTTCCGGAATGCTCTTATGTAAGTAAATCATCTTTTAATTAAATATCTTTTCATGCCCCAATAATCGATGATTCGGGGGTACACATATATATATTTTTGCCCTGTCCGTTCGTCTGTCTGTTTAACATTGATTTTAACGTTTAATTGAGGCTATGGCTTTCATATTTGACATGTGTATTTCTTGTGACAATACCTTTCTTTTGGTATCATCAAATTTGACCTTGGAGTCTGGAGCTGTTTTGCAAAATTTTACCCAACTTCAACCTTGGCCATGGCTTTTAAACAGTTGGTGCCAGGGCTTTCATACTTCACATACATTGTATGTAATTCTTGTGATAAGATCTTCCATTGGATACCAATAATTTTGACCTTGACATAAGTGTTTGACCTATTCTTTAAAACATTTAAACTTGGCCATAACTTTTGAACGGCTAGGGCGTGGGCTTTCGTACTTCACTTATACATGTGTAATCCCCAAGACAAGACCCTCCTCTATTTTACTTGGACCTTTTGCCTGGAGTTTGACCTACATGTATATGGCACGCCAAATTCACAAAAATGAGCTAAACATAGTTTCACAGTTGATAAACTAGGTTTATCGGTTGTAAACTATAGTTTACGGACTGTAAACTATGGTTTACGGACTGTAAACTATAGTTAACAACGTTAATATATATTTTACATCTGTAAACCATACTTTACGCGATAATTTATGTTTCAGAACCGTAAACTATACTCTACGCTGAAATCAATCATTTGCGATTGCAAAACAGATTATCTGATAAATAGTTTCACGATTTGTAAAATGTTGTTTACAATTCTTAAATATAGTTAACGATCTGATAAATATAGTTTCACGATTTGTGAAACTATGATTAACAACTGTTAACTATAGTTCACGATTGTAAATTATAGTTTACAGACGTGAATCTATGTTTATCAACAAAATCTATTGTTAACGTTTTATTACAGACAGATGAATTTAGATTAGCATTCGTAAAATATAGTAAACAACCGTTAAATATAGTTTTACAGATGAAAACTATAGTTAGCGAACTGTTAACTATAGTTCACGGTTTGTAAACTATAGTTTACAGTCGATAAACCTAGTTTATCAACTGTGAAAATATGTTTAGCTCATTTTTGTGAATTTGGCGTGCCATACGTGTACTTTTAATACAACTTAAACCATGGTCATAACTTCTGAACGGTTAGGGCTGGATTTTCGTACTTCACATAATATGTAATCCTTGGGACAAGACCTTTCTTTGACTTTGACCCTTTGGAGTTTGACCTACTTTTAAAAAAATCTTTAACTTGGTCATAACTTTTGAACAAGTGATGCTAGGGCTTTCACAAATATTTCACATTTGTATTACTTGAGAGAAGATTTTACTTTGGGTACCAACTTATTTGATTTGCATTTTAGAAAGTTTAACCATCGCTATACGTTGACATACAGGGGCATCATTGATTCAAAACATAATTATCTATTTTTAAGTTATCATATATTTTTCCCAGTCGATTAATTTAGATCTACATTGCTTTTATTCCCAGACCTGTAAAAAACTGCATATTTACATTTTGAAGAGATCGACTTTATTTCTTTCTGAAATGTAATGCATGTACCACAAGTTTCTACATGTACTTTTTTTTTTATTTGCAAAAGGGGTACACTTAAAAAAAATAAAGGATATTAGACATGGTACATTTATCTGTAAATGGGTAAAAGTATTAATAACTGATTTATTAAATTATAAAATAAAAAGTTATTGTATTAGAGATCCAAGATCAGGAGTATATTCTGTATTTAATACGTTTAAAAGTCATATATTTTCTACTTTTTATTACGTTACACCAGTCAGTTTTCTTTTCCTTTACTACACCTTGTCTCTCGTTGTTCTGACTTTGTTTTAAATATATTCTTGCTCAAGTGACCAGTATTTTTCTTACTTTTGCAGGAATGACGTGGTTCCTGTGGTTATGGGAGCGCACCCCGACGACTACAAAAGATCCGCTCCACCAAATTCTTACTTGCACGTAGAAGAATTTGAATCTTCTCAACAATTAGCGAACTATCTCAAGTCGTTAGATGCAAACGACGAACTTTATAATGAATATTTCAAGTGGAAAGGAACAGGGGAGTTCATAGACACTAAATTCTGGTGTAGATTATGTGCAATGATAAATGATATTAATAAACCAAATCTCGTCGTACGAGATCTTTCATCTTGGTGGAAAAAACCGGAAATTTGTATACGAGGTGATCAAAGATGGCGAAGGTGACCATATCGAATCTAGCTGCTTTTATATAGACATTTTACATAAATTAAATCGTTATCTTTTAATCATAGTTATCCGTTGTTTGTAAATCATGATACTTTCATGGCCAAAATATCTGAAAATAAATAGAGGTAAGAGATTTTGGGTACCAAGAGAAAAGAGTAAGCTCCCTTTGCTATGAGCGTTATTTAAGACCCCCTAATGAAAATTTACTGTCCTTGAATTAATTGATCAACAGGGCTTTGTGTACTTGTTTAAAGGCAAACTGAACATTTTATCATGTTGTAAATTTTGAATTTACTAGGGTGGGGTGAGGGGGGGGGGGGTAAATGCAAAATCATGTTGTAAATTTTTCATTTACCTCCCCCTAATAAATTCAAAATTTACAACATGATAATTTACACAATTTTTTAAATTGCATTTCTGCCATAATTCAATGTTTTAATTAGATTCAAAATATTGAAGAAAACTGTGTTAGAGACTATATAGACAACTTGGAGATTTTTAAGAGACGCCACCTTGCCGAAAGGTCCTTTCGAAAGGAAAGTCTCAAATACAAAATGAGTCATTTTAGGAGCTACAAGTAGTATATAAATAGTGTTCACAACCATCGCCCACTTCCACTTTCGGATATTCTTTGTAAAAATCTTAAAGAAATCTTATTTCTTATTTTTGGGACAACATGTGATCTTACCGCATGAACAGCTTTTTTTTTTCAGAAAAAAAACAGCCATGTTTCTATATTGACTTCCCCTACCTTCTATTTTTCAAAAGTACGACTGCCTGAAATGAGATCCTGATCATAATGCCTATGGAAATAAACCGTAATTTGACAAGGAATGATGCCTTTATTGGTCAATTATATCAAATAAACATTGAGGAAAATTACAAGCTTTAAAACTTTTTATTCGATTGGTATTAATAAAGTACATCAAATATGCCGTCACAATTTTCTGCGAAATTTAGTCCCAGCGTACTTCAAAAGTACAAGTAAAACTGAAATTTAAGAGATCTGCATAATTTTTTACCTGCGGAATTAGAAAAAATGTAATTCGTTGGAATGATGACTCAATAAAGAAGAAGGTTTACATTAATTTAAAAAATTTGGTGCATTAATTACTTTAACAACAACCCCCAACCCCGTGAATTTAGACTTTTCAATAATTAAAAAAAAAGAATTCAATATAATTCTAAATTTCACTGAAAGCATAATTTTTTTTGGCAAAAGAGATATAATGATGATTACTTGTTTTCAACAACATCTACATAATACATATTGACTTATATCAATGTATTCTATATTATGTCAATAACAGTAGTTCGCCAGTTTTCATAACCTTCAGGAATATATACTTGTACGTATATGTTAAATCATTTCAGTCCTCTAATGCAGCCAGAAGCTCTTTGAACCTGTAAAATATAACGGTAATACAGACAAAGGTTGCACTTATTTTGTGTGGAAAAAAAGGTATGGCTAATATCTTTTGATGTGCAGTTATTAAACGTACACTAGTACTTGAATAAAAAGGAAAAAAATCTTAATAACTTTATAAAAGCTGAATAAAACAGGAAAAGAACATATCCGTGTATTATCAAATTAGTTGTTAATAGCATGTCTCCTTTAGAAAATAATCGTTTGAAGAACTCTTCTTTATTGTGTACTGAATTTAGTGGGAGATATTAAATCAGATGTAGGTTGGAATGGTGTTTTGCTACAAGATGATTGATCAATGAAAAGCTAATAAAGATTAAAAATGCATTAAAGTGTACTGCCAGCCATCTATCCAAGGACTACAGTATGGTCTTACCTGCGTGTCTTTCGTGAGGCACGTCGTCGTTTTCGGTGTGAACAGATTCAGAGTCCGTGTCCACGCCTTCCACCTCCATTAACCAGTATGTGCGGACGATTCCCTTAAATGCGTTCTGGAGGTCGAGATCATTCTACGAATCCGAAAAAAAGAAAAAAAAATGTACTCTTTTTGCATCGCTTGTAATTGTATACAAGGAAAAGGAGGCAGTGACATTTACGAATGAGGAATTTTACTTACTTTACGAAGCCACATTATTGTTTATGTTTCATAACGCATCAAACCTTTGCAGTGTTATCCTTCCTTTCCTGCATTGTAAATCCGCCGATGGAGGTCAAGAGGTCATAGGTCGTCTCGCTTAGGTGAACTTTGTTTGCTGTGAAATCCAGGAAAATAATTTTCTGATAAAGGATCATCTCAAAGTTTGAATGAGAACTCTTTCCACACGGAGGAATTTGATTTCTTACCTTTTCCAAGGGATTCCATTTTGGAGGCAACGCTCACTGTTTCACCAAAGAGGCAATACCTCGGCATCTTGTTCCCTACTACACCAGCCACCACAGCACCTGTTTTTAACAAAACCGTACGAAGTTATTACAACTTCTCAAAACACGGAAAACGGATACAATCAAAACACCATAATGTCAATATAATTTAAAGTCGAAGAAACCACATTCACAGGAAGAAGAATGAGTTTTTGTTTGTATTTTTATCTACTTTTTTCCTTTTGCAGAAGTTAAGCACCAAATGTAATCAGTGTCAACATCCGTATACAGGATCCTTCAAAATGTAAGTATTGCACCATTTAAGTTTTGAATATTATTAATTGTAAAAATAGTGACATAGACATACATGTAAATCTGTCCTGCACCCATCAGTGATTTTTGGCTAGATGCAGCGTCGGATGTAAAAAGCTTGGTTTAACCGAGAGCAACCCGTTAAATGAATTAAATTTGTAAATACGGATGAATGTAATTTGAAAAAAACCCGACGCAACCGTAACCTTTCGTCCTAGAACGTTTCAAGGAAAAGCTGCACGCGCCAGTCTAAAACCAGATCACCGACTTATCAGAATGCCAATTAGCTATTACACAAGCGTTTGATACAAAGAAGATGATATTTTGGAAACTTACCTGAATGACATCCGATACGCAGGCTAAATTTTATCCCCGGAAGATGGGGTATTTCCAGATGGCGAAGTTTTCTTACAAGATCAAAGGCCATCTTTGCAATCTCTGATGCGTGCTGTTTCCCATTCTTTCTCGGTACACCTATTTTAAATTTTTGATATATCAACAATATTTGAACGGTAAAAAATTAAAACGTTATTCAAAACACATTTAAACGGTTTTCCTACCTGACACGACCATATAGGCATCTCCTATAGTTTCCACTTTGTAAACATCGTACATTTCAATTCTTTCGTCAAAACAAGTGTATAGACTGTTTAACATGTCAACAACCTGTAAATTAAACACTTAAATTATTAAACGAAAAACTCTTTTCTTTGATTTTACCAAAGCAATGAAATTGGTTTAACTATATTTTCCTAACCTGCAAGGGAGAGCTTGAGGAAGAAATTTTGGTGAATCCAACAATATCACTGAAGAAGATGGTGGCTTGGTCATAGTGCTCGGCGTCCACTTGCTCGTTACACTTGAGACGTTCTGCCACAGATTTAGGCAGCATCTGGTATAGGAGTGTGTCGGTTCTCTTCTTTTCCTTGTTCAATGCTTTTGTTCTAAAAAAGAATTCAATTCAGGTTCAACATTATTCTCAACATTTATTTTAGAAATAAGCACTCGTTTTCGTTGTATTTTTGAGGAGCTATTTTGTGTCTGCACCAGTGGTGCTTAGGAAGCAAGCTTAGTAGGCTATATCAATAATATTCATACCTATTTGCAATGGAAATGGAGTATTTCTGAATCTCCGAAGTCAGAAAGTATACACCGACAATCACCAAAGGACAAACGATGAAAACAGCCCCAAAGATACATGCAATCGTTATAATGGTGTACATGTCTTCCGTGCTTCTCACCGTCAACATTTCGTTTATCTTTGTTGCTAGAGCCTTTTGTGTTTCTCGAACAATATCCTGATATACAGTCATATTGTCAAACCATTCATTTGCCTTTTCTAGTGAACCCTGACTTTGATAACTCTTGTTTGACCGAATCTGAAGCCTCATAGATCGTACAGGAGCTAAAATCAAATCATTGCTTAAAAGTTGATTCTCATAAATGCTGTAAGCTAGTTCAGAATATCTCCGACACGACATAAATGTTATATTTGCAATGTCTTGAGCCTCCAAAAACAGCAAATAATCTTCCTTGGTTCTAAATCCACCGAAAGCGAAATACGTTACACCCATGCCTCGTTCTCGCCCAATGTATTCGCTAGCAACGATGATTTCTTGATAGGCTACCAAAGTTTTCCAAATGGAGCCTGATCTTGCCTCGGAAACAGCATCATATAACCAAGTGATGAAAATATCAATTACATCAGTGTAGAATAGCATCTCCTCCTTAACTGTTCGGTTGTACAGATCCAGCTGATATCGATGACGGTTTAGAAACAACAGAAATTTGTCCTTTGACTGGAATTCCTTCCTGTCGTTTTTCTTACTAACTGGCCAGTACGATAAGTTTTCTAGAGCCATGTCAGTATCCGGGTACCTTCTAAGGAGAACTTCCTTTGTATCTGGGCCAATGGCGCTTATGTAGAGGGCGCTCATGTCTCGTTCTCGTTGTAGGTATCTCATCATTTGACCAAGTTCAATCCTGCAAAACCCTCATTTGAATATAAATATTAAACAAAATTTCATTAATATTTTCTTTTATAAAGTCTTGTCCAGCAAAGATTTTGATGAAAAATTAAAAAAAAGAAAAGATTACAATATTATGATTCTTTTCTTAAATTTATTGTTACTTATTAGTTAGTTGTTATTGATGATAAAATTTCTTTTCCTCACGAGAAGAAGAGGGCGTCTCTTGTGTCCTTGGCTTCTATGAAGTTTTTTATGGTTGCTACGAAGACATTACCCGTCATGCCTATAAGTATTGCCATAGGAAGAAGCACTACAGACAACATTTTCAGCAACTGTTTCCTCTTTCCAGATTCAGTGATTGGATTTCCTTTTCAAAATAAAATCATCATGAGTGAGCATTTAATATTTGCTCATAAAAGTTACTGAGCACGATATTTGGTACGTGTATTTAGA